CTCCTCCTCCTCCTCCCTCCCTCCCTCCCTCCCTCCCTCCCTCCCTCCCTCCCTCCCTCCCTCCTCCTCCTCCTCCTCCTCCTCCTCCTCCTCCTCCTCCTCCTCCTCCTCCTCCTCCTCCTCCTCCTCCTCCTCCTCCTCCTCCTCCTCCTCCTCCTCCTCCATGCCTTTCCTTACACGTAGCTTCTCCCTGTCGCCCTCCGAGGCTGGCCAAAAGGGCGGGCCGGGAGTTTCGCCTGAGGCTCCTTCACCGTTGATAGCCCTGAAGCTTAAACCTTGGCAACAGTTTCACAGATGAAGGGTGGGTGGTTTTCAAAGTTTTCAACATGTGGCTCTCGCATTAGCAGAGCGCACAGTCGTTTTAACAACTTGCACGAGGTTCACGGGTTGAACGGGGGGGGGGGGGTCAAAATGTGGCTCTCGCCTTAGCGCCGCGCACATTCGTTTTAAACATTTTCAAGAGTTTCACGGTTTGAGGGCGGTTCTTTTCAAACTGTGACTCTCGTCTTAGTGCCGCGCACATTCTTTTTTTTAATTTGCAAGGGTTTCACCGATTCCCACGGTCAACGTACCAGAAATGACGTTCTGGAAAGATTTAGTAGTAGGAGGGTTCAACAGTTATGTTGATTCGTGGTGTTGAAGTCCTAGGAATGGCGTTTTGGCACGGTTTAGGATCGTCAAGACGCAACAGTCAGGTTGATCCGTGGTGCTGGAGTTCCGAGATTTTTTTTTGCCTGCTTCAGGGTCTCCCCACGGTTGTCTTCCAACGAGGCAGTTCCTTCCTAGTGCAAATGAGCCCCTAGGGTCTATAAAAAAGGGAGCTCGGAGGGAGGGTTCATTCCAACATCGTTGATGACTCTTGGGTTTACACTGGTCCTCCTCCTCCTCCTTCTTTTCTCTCCTCCCTCCACCACACTGGTCACTGGCGAATTCCAGCGAATTCCTCCTCCGTTTGGTTGGGCTTGAGTTGGCCAGATAGTTGACTTGGTGTAGCCGGAGGGTTGGCCGGGGTAGTTCTTCGATAGGTGGTTCTTTAAACTACATCTAGTCATCTTGTGCCTGCCTCCTCTCGTCCTTCTCCTTGCCTGTCTCCTCTCTCCTCCGTCTCGCTTGCATGCCCGTATCCTTCCCATTCCCCTTTCGGCTCCCCTACTCTTCCCCTCCCCTCCCCCTTGCCCTTCCCCTCTGCTTCCTCTCCTCCTCCTCCTCCTCCTCCTCCTCCTCCTCCTCCTCCTCCTCCTCCTCCTGTCCCTCCTCGTCTGGCTCCCCCCCCTCTCCCTCCCGCCCTCTCCTTCTCCTCCACAGTTGCTCCGCATGAGTACTGCTCTCCTCTCGCCTCCGAAGACGTCCAGTGGGATTGCGCCCCCTTTTGGTGCATTCTTTTTGCTCGCAGGATTTTGATCGCTGATCTTTCATATTTGTCTTACAGTCGGAATGTTTTCAGTGTGTCGAAATGGTGCCCCCGCTGCAGCGTGGGCCTCCTATTAGGACTGGCGCTTTGCTCCTGTCGTTCAGACTGGGCGCTCTTGCCTCAGCGCGGGCCACTTTCGGGATTCGAGTCCTTCCGCATCGTTGTCTCTCCGCTCCTTCCTCCTCCGCCTTCCCCTGGTCCTCCTTCTCTTCCCGCTCCTCCCACTCCTTCTGCTGTTGCTGTTCCTCCTCGTCCTCCTTCCTCATCCCACCGCTCCCATTTTCTGTTTGCGCATTCTGCGATGTGTCCTCTTGGAGGTTCCAGGTCCACCATGACACACGTCGGCGTGATCGATGGGAGGAGTAGGATGTCAGGTATGGCGCGAGTGCACCGAGCTTGCCCTTTCCTCCTCTTTCCTCCGCCGGCCCTCCCTGGCTGCCCTCCCCTCCCCTCCCCTTTCCCTCCCCCCTGTCTTCTTGTCTTGCGGGAGACCAAGATCTCCGAGCTCTCCAGCTTCTCGTCTTGGTAATCCACGGTCGTGGCTGCGACACGGTCCTGCCTCGTGCGGTTGGCCTCGGGGTGCTTCAGCCCTCCCTGCAGCTCTTAGAGGATCAGCAAGCAACCACAACACAGACTCTCGGAGGCCCGTGCGGATTTCTCGGAACGGCGCTGCGCGCCAGGGGCGTCGGCGCCGATCCAAGACACTGATTTGCTGCAGGTGCGCGCCGCGTTGATGCCGTGGCGACCCCAGCGCGGGCGTTCCAGGATGAACGCCGCCAGTGGCTCAGGATCGGCTGATGCCGAGCGACTTGCGCCCTGCGCTGTGGGGCAGCAGGGATCGCCCAGGGTCGAGCGGGCCGCGCGGTGCCAGGAGCCAATGCCCGAGTCGTTGTTGCACGTCGCCGCCGCAGGCCTCTTGGTGATTATGCGAGAGGCTAGCGCCATTCCTCCGGAGTGACAGAAGGACGCACACGTACATGAATCCACGCTGGTTTCGAGAGTACGCATTGCGCAAATGTTCGTACAGCGCGGCTGGTCTCGCGGATCGAGGGGCCTTGTTCTTGTACATATGGGCGCGTACGTCCTTTGTGGGCTCCCTGATTTCGCAGACCCCCAGAGGAGGCGGAGAGTCCAAGGTCGAGGCGTCGTGGGCTTCTTGGGCACTATTTGGGGACTCCTGTGGGCGTCTTGGGAGCCGTTTGGGGGCCTGGCGGAGCTTTTTGGAGGCAGTTTTAAAGCGTCTTGGGGCCCGTTTTGGGGCCTCCTTTCGGGTTCTTGGGGGCCTCTTAGGGCTTATTGGGGGCCTCGTGGCCGCTTGGGGGCTTTTTGGGGCCTTCGGGGGGACAGATCGGATGTTCGGTTCGCGTTCTCCCTCTTTGCCTTGGGGCCCTCTTGGGCCGATCTTTGGCCGTCTTTGGCTCCTTTTTGGGCCGCTTTGGAACCCTCTTGGGCCGTCTTGGGGCCCTGGTAGGGGCCTCTTTGGCAATTTTGGGGCGGTCTACAGGGCCTCCTGGGCCGTCTTGGAGCGTCGGAAGCTCGAGAAGGCGAGAACCCCAGAAGCAATGAAGAACCTGAGGAACACCCATGCCCTCTTGGGAATGCTCTTAGGGCGTCTCCAAGGCTTCTTGAGGCGTCTTGGAGCCATCGTAAGCGTCTTGGGCCAATCGTTCTGCGATTCGGGACCGTCCTGGAGCGTCTTTGAGGCCACGGAAGGCAGATTTGGAGGCTCCGGAGTCTCCCGGGGTGCGCCGACGAGCACGGATACACCCCCCTACTCCCTTCAACGAGCTTTTGGACCTTGGGGGAGGAGGAGAGGCCCTGACCTTCCAGGGTGCTAAACAATAGCCCTCCAGACCTATCCTATAGACCTATCTTGGCTGCCTAAATCCTCGACAGGAATTGAGATGTCGCGGTCCTGTTGCTATTTTAGAGCCCTCCTGGGAGGTCAGGGGGGGAGGGGGACAGCCAATCCTCTCACACGCCTCCTGACGCCCAGCAAGCGGGGGTCGGCAGACTCTGGAGGGCGCGTCGTGGGGGCGCGACAAATTGGGGGGGCAGCGAGGGTTGCCGAAAAGGGGCCCTTCAGGGCCCCTGAAGGAGCCCCCTCGGGGCCCAGAAGGGGGCCCCGAGGGCCCGAAACGGGCCCGAAAAGGGCCCCAAATACGGGGCCCGTAGAGCCCGAGCAGGGGCCTTTGGGCCGCCACTTATCGCCCCCCCCCCCCCCCCCCATTGAATGCGCGCCCAAGGATTTGTTGTTTCAGGCGATCGCAAACAAGGATTAAGGGGGCGTGTATTAGCGACGGGTCGCGTTTCCATGGGGATCGCGGATTCCCGCCGCCGAACGAGGCGGCATTGGCTGCATTTTGGGGAGGGCGCTTCCCCCGATCCATGGGTTTGGCGACCGCGCGCCAAATCCATGGATCGCTAATCCATGTTTGCGCGCCCCCGATCCCCCGATCTATGGATTTGGCGACCGCGCGCCAAATCCATGGATCGCTAATCCATGTTTGCGCGCCCCCGATTGTTGCTTCCCATGGGCTCGGGCGGACGCAATGCTGTCGGGGGAGGGCCTGGACACGGCAACCTCTCGGCTTAAGTCGGGCATGTTCTTTTACGGGAGGAGCATGCCATAATAGTTGAAACAATCGGATGGGGACGATTTGTCGTGCTCTTTGGACTATGTTTTGATATTTTTCGACTATGTTTATTTTTCCTAGAAAATCCGCCTGCAGGAGGTCATGTCCGACCTAACTCTCGGCGTGTCCTGCGGCCGTCGGGGGGGAGGCTTTTCTTGAGGCTGCAAAGCAGTGACGCCGTCGACGGCTCCTGGGTCCAGAGGAGGTACGAGGAGGTAGGAGGAGGGAGGTAGGAGGAGGGAGGAGGAGGGAGGAGAAGGGAGGAGGAGGAGGAGGAGGAGGAGGAGGGAGGAGGAGGGAGGAGGAGGAGGAGGAGGAGGGAGGAGGAGGAGGAGGAGGAGGAGTGGAGCCCGGAAGCGGGCGCGTGGGCCGGGGGCCGGGGGCCTGACGCGGGTGGCCGGGGGCCGGGGGCCTGACGCGGGTGGCCGCCGGCGGGCCTTCTCCAGGGCCCCTTTGGGGCCGTCAGGAGAGCCCGAAGCTCGAAGACGAAACAACGCCGTAAGCATAAACTTTTGGCGCTCCGCGCGGATTTCTTGGATCCGCGCTGGGCCCCCCCTGGCGGCGCCTCCAGTGCCGCCAGCTGGAGGGTGAGGAGGAGGAGGAGGAGGAGGAGGAGGAGGAGGAGGAGGAGGAGGAGGAGGAGGAGGAGGAGGAGGAGGAGGGAGGAGGAGGGAGGAGGAGGAGGAGGAGGAGGAGGAGGAGAGAGGGGCAGGAGGAGGGGGAGAGGAGGAGGAGGGAGGAGGAGGGAGGAGGAGGAGGAGGGAGGAGGAGGAGGAGGAGGAGGAGGAGGAGGAGGGAGGAGGAGGAGGAGGAGGAGGAGGAGGAGGAGGAGGAGGAGGAGGAGGAGGAGGAGGAGGACAAGTTAGGTGCGCTCGCGTCAACATCTGACATCCTACCCCTCCCTCCCATCCCTTACCATGGCGCTGATTTTCTCTATCCGCGGACGCGTGTCGTAGCGGACCTGTGGCTCCGCGCGCGTGTGCGTAGTGGGTGGTGGTGCGCGTGCGTGCGTGCGTGTGTGCGTGGTTGTGGTTGTTGTGGTGGTGGTGTGTGTATGTGTGTGTGTGTGTGTGCGTGTGTGCGCGTGTGCTGTGGTGTGACGTGGTGTGGCGTCTTGGTGGTTTGGTGGTGGGCCAGGTGCGTACGTGCGTGATGGCGGTGGTGGTGGTGGCGGTGGTTGTGTGTGTGTGTGTGTGTGTGTGTGTGCGTGTGTGTGTGTGTGTATGTGTGTGTGTGTGTGTGTGTGTGTGTGCGTGCGTGCGTGCGTGCGTGCGTGTGTGTGTGTGTGTGCGTGTGTGTGTGTGTGTGTGTGTGTGTGCGTGCGTGCGTGTGTCTGTGTGTGCGCGCGTGTGATGTGGTGTGACGCGGTGTAGCGTGGTGGTGGTGGGTGGGGTAGTGCGGTGGTGGTGGCGGTGCGCGGTGGTGGTGCGCGTGCGTGCGTGCGTGCGTTGGTGGGTGGAAGTGGCGGTGGGTGTGCGTGCGGCGGGGCGGGGCGTGGTGCGGCGCGGTGGTGGCGGGCGGATGGGCGCGCGAGAAAGAGGCCCGCGCTGGGGCGAGAACGCCATCCTGAACGACGGAGGCAAAACACCGATCCGAAAATGAGGCCCGCGCTGCAGCGGGAGCACGATTCGGAACGATTCGGGAGCAGAAATGAGGCCGGCGCCTCAGCGAGAGCAGCATTTTGGAAAAAAGGCAGGCGAAAACCCAACTCCCGGGAATCCTGTGTGTAAAAAAACAGTACGCGGGGGGGGTCGAATATTCCCAGCACGCCATCAGGGGAAGAGGGAGAGTAGCATTCATATTGAGTAAATGTGGAGGAGGAGGAGGAGGAGGAGGAGGAGGAGGAGGAGGAGGAGGAGGAGGAGGAGGAGGAGGAGGAGGAGGAGGAGGAGGAGGAGGAGCAGGAGGTTGAGGAGGAGGAGGAGCTGGCGCGCTCCGCGCGCCAGGGATGGGAGACACAGCGCGGATCCAAGAAATCCGCGCGGAGCGCCAAAAGTTTACATTTGTAGCGTTTTTTCTTCTTCCAGAAGACGCCTCTCGGCGGCGAGCGAGGGAGGGACGTGAGAAGGAAAAGGCCTTCTCAGAAGGCTCGGAAGGAAGTCCCGGGCCTTCTGAGAAATCTTCCTCGCGAAGGCACAGGAAGTTTCTCAGAAGGCGCGATGGCTTCTGAGAAGTCCCGCCCTCTTTGAGAAGGCCTTCTCCTTCTCACTTTCCCCCTCTCGCTCGCCTCCAAGTTTCAGGACGAGGCGCTGGCCCCAGGGGGAGAGTGCCCTGAGATCCGTCGTTGCAAAAAAGATAACATAATCGCAATATATTTGTCTAATTTTCTGATTTTCAAAAACGTTTTGCAAGTTAATAGTCTTCGGCTGGTCCCGCCACCGTGCCTGGGTTGTGGGTATGAGGCCTATGGGATGATCGTTGGGATCTCGTGGGGGGCCTCTTGGGAGCCTCTTGGAGGCAGTTCTGAGGCCTCTTGGGTGCCGTTTTGGGGCCTCTTGGGGCCTTTTTTCGGCCTCTTGGGGGGGCCTCGTGGGGCCTCTGGGGGAGAACCTTCAGGAGTGAGGAGTGAGGCTCAGGGGATTTAGGCAAAGGACCTGACGACACGCCCACTCCGTGCCCAAGGGCACGGTGGCGAGCTCCTGGGCGATCATGGGCGTTACTGGGGGGAGGAGGGTGGTGGTGGTAACGTCACGCCCCGTGCCGGCGCCGTTGGGGAATTCCTAGGAGCAGCCAAAGACAATTCGGAGGTCAGCACGACTCGTGGCCTTCCTTAGGGGCGGTCGGGGGGGTGGTGGCGCGGGTCGGTGACGGCCGCTATCGCGAACAAGGAACAGCTCTCGCCAAGCAGTCACGACGGGAGCCCCGGAGCCCATCTTTCTGAGCCCTTATTGAGCGGGCTGGGGGAGTGTCAGCCTTTCGCTGGGGACGCAGATCATTGGACAAGTCCGGTGCCATATTTGCTTTCATATTCGGTGACTTCTCCTGAGGGTCTCACGTAGGGTCCTGCCCCTTGCGGGCCCCCTTTGACAGGACTTCACTTGAGCAGGGTCGATCTGTGAGGGCCCTGGGGACTTGGGACCCCCGGGCGAAGAAACGCCCGCTGTGAAGAAAGTGCACTGCCAGGATCTGAGGGTTGCAGGACTGCGGGGGTCACGCGGTGAACAAATGGCATCCAGGGCAACGACGTCGTGGGAGTTGCTGCTGACCGTGGGACGTCGCGTCGGATGTCGCGCGAGGGCCCGCCTGGCCCAAAGCGATCAATGCTGGAGTTCTGCAGGAGATCAAGAAAACACCAGGGACCCCGCACGGGGCAACACGAGCAATACGCCTGACCTCCCTGTGTGCCGGCGCGCCGCCTGCCCGCCCTGTTCTTTCCTCTGTCCTGCCCCCGCCCGAGGCGAGGCGGCGCGGCATCGGCCTCGCGCAGGGCATGTACGAGCGCACGATCCGGGCTCGGGGGGGGGGGGGATCTGGGCCAGGGTCGAGTATCCTCAAGACGCGTTTTAGCCCAGTGTGTCTGTGTGTACCATGTATGTTGCTCCGCCTCGTCTATCTTCATCCATATTTGTGTATATGTATATATATATAGATTTGCCAGCGTGGACCCCGGACATTGTGTGTGTGTGTGTGTTCTGATAATCAGTGTGGTGCTGTCCAGCTGCCTGCGGCAAACCCTGCCACCGTGCCTGTGCAACAGCGCAGCAGGAAGGAGGCTGAGAGTAAGAGCAGCGCAATTCCGATAAGTAGTCTGCATTGGGGCGGGTCGTGATCCCGACCTCGCCTTTGCCCGCGCGGTACGGTGGAGGAGGAGGAGGAAGAAGACGCATACTAGTAATAATGTTGATACCAGTATTAATAATACGAGGGTGAAGACTAGTAACACTACCTATAATAACAATGAATACCACAATCATACTACGAAGACGAAAAGTAGCATTATTACTATTAATAAGAGTGCTACTCGTAACAACAACCGCAGTACCATTCATACTATTATCACGAATTATGCTATTATTACTAATTTTAATATTGCTACTACTAGTGGTACTACTAATACGGCGAATCATAACAGTAATACTATTACGCACGAACGATATGATCGTGTGAGCAATCATAAAACGAATCCCACCAAGAAGAGTAATGCGAACACGAGGCCTCATACTAACTCTAATACTAATACTCGTATGATTTTCAATGAGTTATCATTACTAGTAATACTAACACTATCACTGCACATGATAACATTCACATATTATTAGTCATAATCGTTGTAATCATCAAACCACGAATGCGAAACATAATACTATTGAGGAGGAGGACCAGGCAGGAGGAGGAGGAGGAGGAGCAGGAGGAGGAGTAATAAGGATGAGGAGGACGAGTGAGAGGAGTAGGAGAAGGATGAGTAGGGAGGAGGAAAAGGGAGGAGGAGGAGCAGGAGGAGGAGGAGGAGGAGGAGGAGGAGGAGGAGGAGGAGCAGGAGGAGGAGGAGGAGGAGGAGGAGGAGGAAGAGGAGGTATCTTGGACCCGCTTGGGCCGTCTTGGAAGCCATCTTGTTCTTGGACCGTCTTGGAGGCCAATTCAGACCATGTTGGGCGAACTTGGAGGCCCGCTTGGGACTGTTTTCCAAGCTTCTTTGGCCGTCATGGGGTCAATGTGGAGGCCTTCGAAGCCAACTTGGCGCGATTTTTGGGGCCTCTTGGGCCGTCTTGGGCCTTCGGAAGGCCGAAACGAAGCAAATGCCAACATCCTGCAACAACACGAAGAAAACCAATGAGTTTGGCCTCTTCGGGCCCTCCTGGAGGACGTCTTGGGGGCATACTGGGAGCCTCTTGGCCGTCTTGGGCCATCCTGGAGGCTTCTTGGGAAGACTCGGAGGCATCTTGGAGCCATCTTGGGCCGTCTTGGTGGCTTCTTCGGCGGACTTGGAGGCACCTTGGACCATCTTGGGCCATCTTGGAGGCCATCTTGGGCCGACGTGACCATCTTAGAAGCCATCTGCAGCCGTCTTGGAGATTTGCTTGTGGACGCCGTGCTTGTTTGGGAGCCTTCCGCGTGGCCGGCGCGCTGGGCCGAAGCCCCAGAGGGAGTTCTTTTGAAAAAGAACCAAAAGAAGCCGTAGGGTTCAGCACGCCAGGCGCCCTTGTGGCAAGACCACCGGGGGGCGGCGGATCGAGTGGCCTTCGGCCCAGTCCGCCACCGTGCCTGGGCTGTAGGGCAGGAGCATCCTGGATGAATATGAGGCTTCGTTGGGATGCCTCTTGTTCCCATGGTACTATTTTTTCTCTGACCGCCGACGCGTGTCATACGGACCCGGGATTCCCCAACACGGCCCCATCAGGTTATTCGTAATCGGAAAAGGTGAGTTGCGTACATTGGAGGAGGAGGTGGTGGATGAGCAGGAATATGAGCAGCAGGAGGAAGAGGAGGAGGAGGAGGAGGAGGAGGAAGAGGAGGAGGAGGAGCAGCAGGAGCAAGGACGAGGAAGAGGACGAACAGCAGCCACATGAGCTGGAGTGGAAGGAGCGGGAGGAGCAGGAGGATCAGGGCAAGGCGGAGTAGGGGAAAGGATGGGGAGAGGCAAGGAGGGAGGCGACACAAATGAGGACGGACTCGGTTCCAGAAAAGTGGCCCGTGCTGGCGCAATCGTGCCATATTGAGCGGCGGGGGCAACGACGCTGCAGCGGCAGCACCATTTTGAAGGACCGATCGTGATCGGGTTGTAAAGCACAGCATACGGGATATGAACGTTTGAACCCTGTCTACAAGCACTGCGCGGAGAGGGTGGGTCAACTTCCACACTGGGCCAGGGGAGAAGGGTGGACGTAAGATTCATACTGAGTAATTGTGGATGGAGGAGGGGTGAGAGATTGGAGTGGGAGAAGACTCTTCGACTCTGGGCTGGCCTCGAGCACGCCCCGCAGGGGCCTCATGTCAAATGACGACGGTCGACATTTCTTGACTTGAGGAGCGTTTTCGGTTTGGCTCAAGTCGATCGATCTTGTGGGAACCCTCAGTGCACAGAGTGCAAGGTGCAGACATTGTGTGAGCGCCATGGCCCGCGTGTCGTTCGCCATGCTGTCGCTCGGAGCAGCGCTGGCCACTGAGGAGACCACGGCAAGCTTGCGGGGCTCTGCTGCGGCAAGACGCCTGGGGAGCTGCACCGCGGACGCGAAGCCATGCGCAGCCCCGCACTCAAACTCGGCTATCCAGCTGCCTGCGGCACTTCCCGCCATCTTGTCAGCCCAGCACCTGGGATGGCGACTACTCGAAAGAGCGAACAGGAAACCGTACGGTCTGACTACGCGTGCCCCGAGGTTCGGGAGCGGCGTAAAATGCGACGCGCTCGCTGTTGAGGAGGATGAGAAAGACGCTGACGATGGTTTTTACGATCGGCGGGGATGGCACATGTTAATGATGATGATGATGCTGATGATGACGACGATGACGAGGATGCTGTGATGATGATGATGATGATGATGATGATGATGATGATGATGATGATGATGATGATGATGATGGTGATGATGATGATGATGATGATGGTGATGATGCCGATGATGATGATGATGATGATGATGATGATGATGATGATGATGATGATGATGATGATGATGCTAATGCTGATGCTGATGATGATGATGGCGATGCTGAGGATGATGCTGATACTCATGATGATGATGATGCTGATGATGATGAGGATGATGATGATGAGGATGATGATGGTGATGGTGATTGTGATGGTGATGCTGATGGTGGTGATGATGAGTATGATGATGGGGAGTATGATTAGGATGTTGTTATTGGCGACGATGCTGCTGCTGATGATGATGCTGCTGCTGATGATGATGCTGATGATGATGCCTGTGGTGGTGTTGGTGGTGGTGATGGTGATTACTTCCGCAGGCCGAAATATGTTCTTCTTGAGCCCAAACTGTCGGAAGCGACGTGCCGTTCATGTGAACGCATATATATATGTATATATATATATATATATATATAGCGCTCCTTTCGGCTTGGGGCGTGCCATATCCTAGTGAAGGAGATGCGGGAGTTGGCCAGGCCCGCTGTGGCGTTCGAGCAACCACATGTTAGGAGAGGAGTTGAGGGAGGTGGCTGGGCCCGCTATGGTGCTCGAGCTTCCGATACTGACATTTTGCTTGTGTGTCCTTATGCTCCCCGTCCTTCCTCCTCCGTCCTCCCCCCACCTTCTCCCTCCTCCTCCCACCTTTTCCTCCCTCCTCTTTTCTCCTTCCGCATCCCTTCTCCCTCCTTTTTCTCCTACCCTTTCTCCCTCCCTCCCCCCTCCTCCCCGATTGTTCCTCTTCTGTCTTCCCTCCTCCCGTCCCTTCTCCCCTCCTCCCCCCTCGTGCCTCCTCTCTCCTCCTTCCTCTCTCCGTCCTGGGAAGACCATCCCTCCCCCGAAAAAGCACAGCTTCGGTCAGCAGATCCACAGTTCCGTGGATGGCATGATGCTTCGCGTGCGGTGCCCCGCGGGTCCCATTTCCCTTGGGAGCGGGATGTTAATCATCATTGTTATTATTATTATTATTCTTGCTGTTGTTGTTGTTGAACATTATTACTTCTAAAGAATAATTATTGTTGGGGCCCCTGGTACACGACCCCCCTCCAAAACCTAGGCCGCAGCTACATTTTCATTATTTTTTCGCGAAAGCTTCAGAAAAGTGGATTAGTACCGGATCCGGTTGTTTTGTTCCCCCCCGCTTTCCCTTGCAAAAAACACTATAAAATGAAATTTCTTGTTCAAATGTAATCCAATTTCAAGAATCCCTTGCAAAAAATAAGCTAAAGTGGACATTCGCGCGTGCAAGACGAAATCCTTCCAAAACCTTAGGTTTCGGAACGATTTCAACATAAAAACATCAAAAACCCAATGGTTTTTTAAATAAAAAATTGTCAAAATCTCATCCCGCGCGCTCTTGCGGATTCGTAGGAAAACCAACACTTTTTAAACATTTCTGTCAAACGGGCTTTTGCGAGCAACTTTTTCGAACTTCTGCGACAACGGTTGCGCACCTGCCAGGGCCATCATCCCTGTCAAATAATACCATGCGGGACACATTCGTTTTTTCTTCGCGCGCGCACGCCGAAATCTCCAAAAACCATTGGGCTTCTTAAGAATTTTAGCACCGCGCATCATAAAATCACACGAATCGCACCGTAGGTCCTCGAAAAACACCTGCACGACTTTTCAAAATTTCTACCCGCGCGCGCTGTCCTAACAACTTCTGTGGGTGTGTACTCCACGCCAGTGTAGTAGCCACGGTCGTCCGCAGGCCACGAAGTGAAGTGTCCGAACGTCATAGGGCGGGAAGCTGGGTGTGGGTGGTGGCGAAGAGTCGTGTGGATATTTGGTAGAGCTTGCACTGCCCCCCCACAAAGTGGGGGTATTGGCTGGCGTCGCATGAAAACCCTGGCACTGGTGAGAACACTGA